AATCACAATTGAAAATGCAGTCACCTTGGCTTCCCAGAAGTAAACATCAGTGTGGCAGAGGGAGGTAAAGAGGATCTTCAAACGAACCTCCATAGCTTGAGGAGGAGCCACCTCCACTTCTTCTATTACCAGTGGCTTCCCAGCCTCCCATGCCACAGCAGCTACAGATTAAGCAAAATGCATCCAGTCATTGCCACATAAATGAGAAATCCAGATACACAAAATGACAACAGCACAAAGAACACATCACAGACCCCACAAGGAATCATGAGCTTTCTTGGTTACCTTTGCAACATATGACTTGACCAGCAGTGCTTGACATATTTGTTTTTGTCTTGAACGAACTTTAGCTCCTTATTCAAGGCTTCTTTGATTTCTTTGCTCTGTTTCTTGATTTGTGATGAGACAGGTTGCCTTCGTAGGTAGGTATTTATAGTTGCAGAAGTACGCATATCCCTCCTGTTTTTTGGATTATGTTGACCATAAATTTGAATATTTCTTAAAAGAAAACCATTTACGCTCCTGCTGTTTCGTTTATCCTCTGTTTCTCTCTCTTGTTGGCAACAACGGCCCCCCCTGTTTCTTGCTTTCTTGCCGTGTCTGGTTTTGGCTAACTATAAGCCAGTCCTCAAACTATACTATACTTTTTTAAACAACCTGCAAAAACAATTTTGCAAGTATATCGTTCAAACGTCACTGATTTTCTTAGCAAAAACCTTATCAATTTTAATAATTCTTCTACGCACAACATTCTTGAAAAATAAAAAAAGAGAGAGCTTTGTAGTTTTTGACAAGAAATTGGTTGAGATCACAATTTTTCAGACAATATAGAAGTTTTATTTTATTTTTATTTATGAGATTGCAAATTATTGTAGGGTACTTTTTTCTTAATTAAAGTTATGATAGCAAGTAGTTCTTGACACCGTAAGGAAGTGATTTTTAAGTGATTGATGGTTTGATGGTGAAATTGCAAGAAAGTATTAGTTTGACATTTAATTGAAATCTATATATTGATTGAAGGGTTGATTTGCAATTAGCCTTCTAGTTTTGCATTTCCAGTTCTGGTTTTGCTGTTTGTATCTTACTTTACTGCTGAGCCAAGACAGCCGGACTCGCAATAAATTACCATTGTTAATTTTTAATGAGGTTTACGCTGCCAGAAGAGTGTCTTTTATAGAGATAAACACAGCCATTCTCTGAAAATTTCTCTGGAAAATTCAAAAAGAATTTGATTTTATGTGCCTCGAGAAAACACTTTTGTTTATTTCCCAAACATTTTTTTATTCATTTTTTGCCACCAAAATATAAATCTCCATTTTGTGAAAAATAACCACTTATAATAAAAAAATAAAATAAAAAAACTTGCAGGGAAAATGTCCATCCTCACATGACACCGAGGATTGAAGTATATTTCTTCTTTTTTTTCTTCCTTTTTTTATTTATAATTTTTAATGTTATATTAGTTTGGATTTGGGATTAATGATTTGTTTTCATTATTTTTTATATAATTATTATAATCTCAATAAAACATTTCTACATCATGTTGTTGTTCAATTTCACTATTTTTTTTATTGTTTGTAAAAGAATGAAAATAGGGGGATTAAAATCAAAATAAAGAAAAGATAGCAACTTTTTTGTTTTAAAAAAACTTTCATGTCAACTTTGATCTTTTTTTTTGGCTTTTGTTTATTGAGTTTTTTTTTTGTATTGTTCAATGTTGTTTTAATCATAAATTGAAATTTATAATTTATTTTAATCTATTTTTTTTATGTAATTATCTTGATTTAAAAAATTATTCCAACATTGAATAAGAATTTGATTTAACCAAAAAAAAAAAGGAAGAAGATGGTTTTAATGTTTGAAAAAGATCGAAATTGAGGTGACTAAAATTTAAGCAAAGAAAAAATGGGAGACCTTAATTTTTTTTAAAAAAGTGAATGGTATTAGGGTGTTTATGCTTAGTTTTGCCTTAGGATATTTTCAAATTTCTTTTTTAGTCCCTTTTGTTTCATAATTGAACAATCTAATCCAATTTGTTTTTTTTTATTTTTTAGCTCCTGACTTTAAAAAAGGAGAAAGGCGTCATAAAAAAACAATAAATGAAAGAGATAGAGGTCAGTTGGTTAGATTTCAACAATAAAAATAATTAAATTTGATGTTAAATTATTCAATTTTTGCCACCAAAATATAAATCTCCATTTTGTGAAAAAATAACCACTTAAAATAAAATAAAAATAAAACTTGCAGGGAAAAATGTCCATCCTCACATTACACCGGGGATTGAAGCGTTTTTTTTTTTTTAATATTATATTAGTTTGGATTTGGGATTAATGATTTGTTTTCATTATTTTTTATATAATTATTGTGGTCTCAATAAAACATTTCAACATCATGTTGTTGTTCAATTTTACTATTTTTTTTATTGTGTGTAAGAAAGTGAAAATAGAGGGATTGAAATCAAAATAAAGAAAAAATAGCAACCCTTTTGTTTTTAAAAAAATTTCATGTCAACTTTGATTTTTTTTTTTGCTTTTATTTATTGAGTTTTTTTATTTTTTTTATTATTTAATGTTGTTTTAATCACGAATTATAGTTTATAATTTATTTTAATTTATATTTTATGTGATTATCTTGATCTCAAAAAAATTATCCCAACATTAAATAAGAATTTGATTTAACCAAAAAAAAAAAAGAGGAAGAAGATGGTCTTAATGTTTGAAAAAGATCAAAATTGAGGTGACTAAAATTGAAGCAAAGCAAAAATGGGAGACCTTAATTTTTTTTAGAAAAAAGAAAATGGTGTTAGGTTGTTTATGCTTAATTTTGCCTTAGGATGTTTTCAAATTTCTTTTTTAGTCCCTTTCGTTTTGTTATTAAACATTGTATATGCTTAATTTTGCCTTAGGATATTTTCAAATTTCTTTCTTAGTCCCTTTCATTTTGTTATTGAACATTTTAATCCAATTTATTTTTTATATTCTAGCCCCTACTTAAAAAACAAAAAAAAGGAGATATAATAAACCAATGCATGAAAAAGACATAGGTCAGTTGGTTAGATTTCAATAATAAAAATAATTATATTTGATATTAAAGTATTTTAAAGAAAAGAGTTTTATTAAAGTATATTTTTTAAAAAAAAGTTTTATTGAAGTGTTTTTATACTTTCAAGTTTTAAGCAAAAGTATTTTTACACTTAGAGAGAGAATTTTTATTATACTTAGTGTCTTTTATTATATTTTTTAGTTGATAAATTAATTTTTTATTTTTATAAAACTTTTTTAAAGTGAATACAAGTTAAAAAAATAAATTTTAAATAAAAAAAATTTCAACTTAATTTTCAACTAGTTAAAAATTAGATTTACAGATGACACATTATTTTTTTTTTTAAATAAAGTTACATGGACGACATGTCACGTGTCTAATTTAAAGAAAAAGAACAGGAGCAGGTCTGGGCTGGCGTGCCGTGGACTTTTTTTAAACTGTTTTCTCCCAAAACAATTAATTTAATTTCTTAAAAATAGATTGATTTAAAATATTTTTATATATTATTTTAAAAATTATTAAATCAATTTAAAATATATTTAAAATATTATTTTATTAAATTCAAAATTGTTTTTTCTTTGTTTTCCAGTGATATAATAATAATATTTTTACAATATTAGTATTTTATGCAGTCCATCATAATTTTTTTTCACACGATTGTCATCTATTTCTACTATTAAATAATTAAAATAAAAAATAAACTTATTACATCTACTCGAGTCTATGATTAAGGTGGATGGTTTGAGAGGCAACCTATATTAATCAAATTTATTATCATTTTATTATTTTTTTAAAAAATATTTTTTTAAATTTATTTTTAGTTAAATTATATTTTTTCCTATCATATAAGTTTTTCTTTCACTCACTAAGTCAACATGGCAATATTAGGCCAACCCCTATAGAAATTAATTTGATACCCAAGTTAAATAAGTATTTAAATCACAAAATTTTAAAGTTAACCAATTAAATTGGTTCTGAGTTAATGATTATATTTTTTTGTTACTAATGGAAAACACATTGATGATGTCTGGACATTGTTTTTCACACTCATTTTTTTTTGTTCAATTTGTGATGTAAAATGGGCACTCTAGAACACTACCTACATAAAAATAATATTAGAAAATTAAATTTGAGGAAATTATATAAAATTCACAATAAAAATTAAGAAAATAGATATTTTTTTGTCATCCAATTCTAACGGAAAAATCATTTTATATACTCTACATATTAGGGTAGCATAACCATCCATCAAGCAGTCAATTAAATCATTATAAATAAATATCATGATCTAAATGCAAGTTGTAATAAAAAAACTAAAATAATGACTTAATATTTTGTACAAAAGGAAAAACCCCTATTAATATAATAAAATAAATTAAGAAATATATTTAAAAATAACACAAGTAGAAAATTCTTTTTCTTGAATAATAATCTAAATATCATGTCAAGTGTTTCATTTACGGTGCACCTCCATTAAAAAAAAAAAACTTCGAAAATTGAGAATATATATATATATATATATATAAAGAATCTATGGGCCTAATATATTAAGCAGACACACCTAGCTCAATGAAGACAAAAGTCTGCGTGCAAGCTATGCTTTTTTTTTTTTTTTTTTAATGTTTAAGAGTGGAAGGCAAGCTATTCGCTCTTTTTTCAATGAATGAGATGGCACGTCTGCTTGCTTGGTGAATTTATGATCATTAAAGACATGGCTAAAAAGTCATGACAAAGGTTTTTTTAGGATTTAAAAACTTATTTTTTAGGTTATTTTTATCTAAAAATATCTAATAAACACTATAAAAATCCTAATAAATCAACTTGTATCATCAAAGCCGCCTCAAATTGATTAAAACCTAGAAAAGAAAATTGACAAATGCAAACCCTTCTCTAATCTTTATATGTATTTTTCAGTAAAATAGGAGCTCAAAAATAGTTAAATGACTATCTTCTTCTTATCAACAGAAATCCAATAAAACTAAAATCAGATTAAAGGTAGATCATTAATGTTATGTGAAGAACTTTGATAATTTTTATATTATTCTACTATTATATGTTTATTATATGTGCATGGCATGCTAATTACAAGATCTAACATATCAATAAATTTAAGCATCGTTTCAAATGAAAGATTCAAGTGCTGCAAAAAAAAAAAAAAAATTGTATGAGAATCATGTAATGGTACCTTAAAGCTTTCACGTGAATCATGAAAGGCAAGAGTGGTTGGGTGCAGACAAATTATCAAATCATATTAAATTATGTATTAATAATTTTGAGCATTGACAACAAGTCATAAGATCTTAACGAGTCATAAGATCTTAAGAATACAATAAAAAACATTGACAACAAGTCATAAGATCTTAAGAATACAATAAAAAATTATTTTTTAAATTTTTTAATATTTATTTATTAATAAAAAAATTGATTAACAAAAATTACTTTTCAGTTAAAAAAAATTTGACTTGGTTTATAAAAAAATATTTTTCTAAAAAATTTTGACTTAGTTTATAAAAAAATATTTTTCTAA